GAGGGAGGTGGGCTGAGGCCTCTATCCCTGGGTCTGAGGGTCCAGGGCTGAAGCCTGGATTCTGGGTCTGAGAGAAAAGGATTGTAGCCTAGACCCGCTGTCTTCCAACCCTTCCTTTTCCATGGCCAGGCCCATCACTGTCCTCTGTGCTGAAGGACCTCCCAAGTGCTGCTACTCTTCGATACCGTGGCCCCGGTGTGCTCCCTTGGGGGACACTGGATGAGGATGAGGATGAGGATGGAGGCGGAAAGGGTCTTCAGACCTTTGCAGAAACTGCCCACATGGAATCTCACCCTCCCCGGGAACTTCCCTGGCCTATGCAGGCAAGGCGGGAACACAGGTCAGTCTCTCTTCTCTGACACCTCCGTCTGTCGAGTGACTCTTCCTGATTTCAATAGGTTATGTTCTAACGTTATTGCCTTGCCACTAGCAGGGGTAAGGTTTGCCTGGGCTTGTTCTGAACTTTGTGCTAGACAATGAGGAAGACTTTTGTGTTGTTGTTGTTATTGTTTTTCAAGACAGGGTTTCTCTGTGTAGCTTTGTGCCTTTCCTGGAACTCACTCTGTAGCCCAGGCTGGCCTCGAACTCACAGAGATCCACTGGCTCTGCCTCCCGAGTGCTGGGATTAAAGGCATGCGCCGCCGCCGCCGCCGCCGCCACCACCACAGACTGAGAATCCGGAAGACTTAATCATTTTTCATTTCCGTTCCTTCCCCTTCTCCCAAGCTTCCTTCTTTCCCTCTTGGTGATTTGTTTGGTTCTTTCTTTTTTACATGTTGGTGTGTGTGCCCCTGAGAGCATGCGTGCATGTGCTTATGGCTTTCAGTGGAGCTCAAAGGCAGCTTGCAGCAGTCAATTCTGGGGATGGTCAGGGACCAGACACAGGTTTGAGCTCGCCACAATGGCCCTTCCTTGCTGAGCCACCCCAACAGCCATTTTGTTTTGTTTTGTTGAGACACGGTCTCAACTCTACGACCCAGACTGACCTGAAATCACTGTTTACCCCAGCGGACCTTACATTTTCACTAGTCCTTCTACCCGATTCTCCCAATTGAGGGGGCTACGGGCATGAATGGTGCACCACACCCGACTCCTTCATTTCCTTTCAAAAGCATGTCACTAATCTGACCAGCCTGTCCTGGGACTCTCAATCCCCCTGCCTCAGCCTGAGCACCGGTGCGATTACAAGTCTACACCACCATACATGGCTCCATCGTTATTTGGTGCCCGGCTTCCTATACATAAAGTAGAGCTGTTTCCTTTTTAATTGCTAAAGAGTATTCCATGTTGTGGATACGGTATACAATATCCACGTCATTGTATGGAGCTGTTTCTGTCTTTGGGTGGTTCCCAGTTTGTCGTTTCCAAGCCCTTCATTTTCTGACTCTGGCTCTCCTTTCTTTCCAGAAAGAGCCAGGCTAGAGAGCAGGTGGCCTCTGGCTCTGAATCGAAGGCTGCCTACTGGACCCGACAGCTTTCCAGGACCAAGGGGAAAATGAAAGAAGGCTTTCAGACTATACAGCCCTGGGCATGGACGCTGAAGAAGATTGGGGGTGTGGTTGGCTTTAAAGGGAGAGGGCTGAGACCTGGACTCCTGGGGTCTGGGGAAGGAAAGCTGGAGTCTGGTGGGCCAGACTGACAGAGGATGGGGTAGAGACTACCCCTGGGCCTTAGAGAAGAGGGCTATGGCCTGCATCCCTGAGCCTGAGGGAGGCGGGCGGGGGCGTGGTTGAACTCCCTCCGAACTGTGCTGGGGAGGGACCTGAGGCCTCTCTGCTGCCCCCTGCAGGCCAGTTCGGAGCAGGCACCGAGTCCTACTTCTCCCTGCTGCGCTTCCTGCTCTTCCTCAACCTGGTGGCATCTGTGATCGAAGTCTGCATGAAGCTGGTCCCCGCCTGGTTGGAAGGCGCTCCTCCAGGTTCCCCTAGCCCTAACATCTCCTCGCCCTGTGGTTCCTATGCCCCCCACACTCAGGGCCTGGTCAGCTTCCCCACTCAGCTCTTCAACTTGCTCTCTGGAGAGGTAGGTGCCACGGTCTCTGGTTTCCTCAGTGACCTGTGGTCCAGATCCCCGGGCTCCCTGATCCTTGCCTCCGCCGCTGCCGAGCCCCACAGTGACCCTTACTCTGCCTCTTCCTCCCCAGGGTTACCTAGAATGGTCCCCTCTGTTCTATGGGTTCTACCCACCCCGATCGAACCTGGCCATCCCCTACCTGTGCTCCGTCTTCGTCATCGGGCTCATCTACTTGCTGTTCATCCTACACCGGTTAGTGACACCCACTAACATCCTGACTCTGACAGGAAGGAGAAACTGCAGGTGGCATAGAAGGCCCCTCCCCCAGGAGTCATTTCTTCAGCACTGAAATCCATTTTAAAGCCAGGCCTTGTGGAGGCCCCAGCTAGTAGTGTCATCACTTGGGAGACTGAGGCAGTATGATTATTTTGAGTTCAAGGTCAGCCTGGGCTATAGGGTAAGGTGAAGGCCACCCTGGGCTACACAGAGGATCCTGTCTAGCTCAGCATGTTAATCCCAGCACTAGGGAGGCAGAGGAAGGCAGACCTCTGAGGCCAGTGTGGTCTACAGATTGAGTTCCAGGACATGAGCTCTGCCACTGAGCTAAATCCCTAACATTGAGATAGGTATTTGAACCTGTCATTCAGATGAGACTGGGAGATCCTCAAGGAGGGAAACCAAGTGTTTTAAACGGGGCTAGGGGTGAGGGCTATGAATGTAAAACTGGGTGGGGGGGGGGGCATGCTCTCAAACTAAGAAAGCTATTTAAAAAAAGTGAAAGCTATAAAAAAAAAAAGCGTTAGTGTCTCCTGATTGCCAGATATTGTTCCAGCTTGTAGTCCTGAAGGTGGACACAAGCTATAAGACAGACTGTTGAATTATGAACAAATATAATTAAACATGAGTAAACGAGGCCGGGTGGCAGTGGTGGCGCACGCCTTTAATCCCAGCACTCGGGAGGCAGAGCCAGGCAGATCTCTGTGAGTTCGAGGCCAGCCTGGGCTACAGATTGAGATCCAGGACAAGCACCAAAAACTACACAGAGAAACCCTGTCTCGAAAAAAAAAAAAACAACAAAACAAACAAACAAACAAAGCATGAGTAAATGGATGGGGGAGCCCGGGTCTGCACTGGGGAGGTGAAGGCACAGTAGGGTCTGAGGCCAGCCTTACCCTCATAGTGAGACCTTGTCTCCAGAAACAAACGAAATAGCCTGGAGGTGGTAGCACACGCCTTTAATCCTAGCACTCTGGAGGCAGAAGGCAGGCAGATCTCTGTGAGTTCCAGACCAGCCTGGTCTACATATCAA